AAAGCAGGTGTTCTCTGTCCCTTGAACAGGGCAAGCATACTTGTGCCCCAGGACCTTTGCACTTGCCAAGCTTCTGATTTGGAATCTCTGTCGTAAGTTGTCTGCATGGCTATCACCATTCAGGATTTGGTTGAAATATCATCTTCTTCAAAAGCCATCTCTGACCACATACACAATCACTATCAACTTCCTTCTCTTCCTTCATTTCCATGTAAAACTATCTAATGTATTTGTTTCCCCCTATAACTTAAATGTAAGCTCCAGGAGCAATGCGATTTTCTCTAATTTAACCTAGCATCTCTGGATTCTGCAACGGTGCCTGACTCCTAGTTTTGCAGCAGCAAAAACGAAACATGGATAATAAAAATAAGAGGAGGTGTTACTTTTAGAGCAATGATCTGTACTTACATGCCCCTCATTCGGGAGATCTTTACCTGCACTATCTCATTGAGTCCTCCCAACAACAGGAAATCACGTCTGGTCTGCAATTTTCCAATCTCCTGTCTGCAGATTAAATTTTGACCAAGATTTTCAGTGACTGCTGGTGACCTTGCCTTGACCCTGACAAGGACATTAGTCTGCGTGCAGACAGCAGATGGTTCTAAGATCTGGCCTTGGCTGTACCAGCCTCCCTTACATGCCGGACGATCCATCGTCCGAGCAGCATCTTTCCGTGCTTCTAGTGTGTGTGGGTGTCAGACGCTAAGTCGTGTCTGACTCTGAGACCCCAGGACTGTAGCCTGCCAGGCTCCTCTGTCCATGGAATCCTTCAGGCAAGAATACTGGAGTGGGCAGTTATTCCCTTCTCCAGGGGATCTTCCAACCCAGGGACAGAACCCGAGTCTTGCACTGCAGGCAGATTCTTCACCATCCGGGAGAAGCACCCAGTTCTTGTATGTTGCAAACCCTGAAGTCAGGACGTCAGTTACTAAGGATTAGAAGAGGACTCTGGTCCAGAAACCATCTGTGCTGACCCTTCCTGAAGCTTTCCCTCAAACAGCCCAGACACAAGGCTCCCACCCGCTCCCCACCCTCTGCCACCCGTCTCTTTCAAGAGAGATTTATTACAGTGCTGTCAACAGAATCCTACCTTTACAGAAAAAGATAAAAATAAGAAACACCTTACAAGAAGACGCCGTGGAGAAAGCTAAATCATAAATGTTTGATAAGGAATGGTCAAATCCAGACAAATAACTGTTCAATCCCACTTTGTATTAAGCAGATAAAGTCATACAGAAAATCAATGTGATGTATTGAAACGGGAGGGGAAAAAAAAATGCCAAGCTTGGGGATTGGGCTACACAGTGTTATGAAGCAGTTGCTTCATAAGAGATTGCTCATAACATGATGACCACATACATTTTTAAAAATGGGGCGCTGATTACTGACTTGCTGCCCTGTCATTCGTGATGCAGTCCTCTCCTCTGCTTCTCCTGCTGCTGCTGGAGATAATTCCTGGGGTGACACACGTGTTCTCAGGGGAGGCAGCAGAGAGGAAACCGGTGCCACTGCTCAAAGAGACACTGCGGCACTTCCTATGAAACCCACCGGTCAGAGACGCTCACAACCTCTGTTTCAGCGCATCTGCTTCTGGAGAGTCCCCCTTGTGATGCGAAACGCACACGCAGGCGCGCTCATCACCAACTTGTGTTGAAAAGCAAAATAGACTCAACCTACATGTGTCGAGAGAGGAGAGGATGAGGGAATGACAGGCCGCCGTACGGTGGACCATTATGCAGTCATGGCATGCTGGGTGGCCAAGCTCCCTGTGCAGATAACCAAATGATCCCTAAGACGTCACCATGTACAAACAGCAAGGTAATAAGCAGCCGTGTTCGGTGGTCTTGGCTGCATGAACTTTTTAAAAAGCTATGTATCTATGGGCTTCCCTGGTGTCTCAGACAGGAAAAAACCTGCCTGCAATGAAGGAGACCCACACTCGATCCCTGGGTTGGGAAGATCCCCTGGAGAAGGGAATGGCTACCCATTCTAGTATTCTGTACACATATCTATATCTGTACACGTCAATATCAAATATATATATCTCTCTCTCCACACACACACACACACATATATATAGCACACATTTTTGTATCTGATGGTAAACGTGTAGGAAGTTTCTGGAAGAATCCACAACACACCTTTAACAGGTGGTTTCTTTTGGAGAGAGCTTAGGGGATGAGGGACAAAGGAAAACTTTGTTTTTAAAATGTTATCAAAGGGTTTGAAATTCCACCATGAGCTTCTATTGCTTTTACTGTTTATTTCCCCCGAGTGGAGTGGCAAGCGGCAATAAAAACAAAGCGATAGGAAATGCTTTCTCAAGATTTGGAAAGCCTGGTTGTTTTCGTGAGTTATCTGACAGAAGACGCGGGGAGCTCTGGGTGTTCTTCACTAAGTCTCCAGCCCGGGACCTCTCCCGTCAGAAACCGAGGAGTCCATCTGGAGCCGCCTCCTGCACTGAGGGGCCTCTTCCACCTCCAGGGAGAACATCAGTGCCTCTGACTTCCTTCTGTTTCCCCCAAGCCCACCCCAAACCTCCTCAAATAAACGGAAGGGGTTTCTGCTACAGATGTGGGACCTCCGTGTGCAGCAGTGCATGTTAAGAGGCTGGCTCGTGCTGGCCAAGCTACTTTCAATACTTTCTCTGTAAGGTAATAACCTCCCTCCTGCTGATGGCATTATTTTATATAACCTGTAATTAAATGACAACAACAAAAAAGAAGCAGCGGAGTATATAAAAGTCAACAGATGAGGGAAAGGGTCTTCGAAACAGAAGATAATAAAGCTTGCTAAAAAGAGTAAACGCTGGCCCAGAGATCAACAACTCCCACATCACCATGGAGAATGATGCGCTTGCTTTGAGGTGAAACAATAGCAGATGAAGGTCAATTAATGCTGTACCGATGAGCCTAAAATGAGGCGATTGTACTGCACCCACAAATGGTGCATTGAGTTCCTGCTGGGGAAGGCCCTGGGGAGGAGAAGGCAGCTGAGGAAAGGGAGCTGGAGGCCTGGTGGTTTGCCCTCTTGAAATAAACATCTGAGAAGAGTCAGGCTGTACATCTAAATTAGCAGAGAGACTTAGACAAATGAAAATACTTCTCCCAATTTATCTTTGACGCGGTGCTTTCCATCTTCATACAGGCAAAGATCAGATCAGTGTGATTTTTTTCAGATACTTTTGGGTGCTGGGGAACTAGGAGAAAAGATCTCTTTAGACAAATAAACAGAATTCTCCTGCCCAACCTTCTGGAGCAAGAGATGCGTAATTGTACTCAAGAACAATCTGATAATTGCTTGGACTGTGGTTTGAATCCTTAGCTCTGCCACTTGCTCATCCGCACTTTAAGTGATCTGGTCACCTCTCTGCACCATGCAGCGGCTGAGTGCGCTTGCGCTTGGTTAAACATCATTTCCACAGAAGTTAAGTCCACCTGGAACCTCAGACTACATCTGGAAGTAGCGTCTTTGCAGATAGTTAAAAATGAGGTCATACTGGATTCTGGTGGGGCTAAATCCAATGACTGGTGTCCTCCTGAGAAGACACACAAATTCAGAGGGAAGAAGGTGGTGTGAGGTCAGAAAGACAGAACAGAGTTATGCTAACATCAGACCAGGAACATCACTCCTGTGAGGATTAAATTGCCGATCACGTGCCAAGTGTTTACAGTAGGGCTTGGCACATAGTGAACATTACCGAGGTCGAAGTTCGTATCATTTTTTGGTTTTGCCAACACTTTCCTTTGTTCTATAAGAGTATAAAAACTTTCCCTTGGATAAAAAACAAACAAACAAAACCATCAACACTCTTAGAGAAGAGTATGAAGCATGGGTTCTCAACGAGGGGTGATTCTGCGGCCTGACCAAGGGATATCTGAGACTGCCCACAGAAATTTTTGGCTTTGCAGGACTTGGGAGGGAGGTGGGATCGTCTAGTGAGTAGAGATCTGGGTTGCTGGTAAAGATCCCGCAAAGCACAAGAAGGCCCCCGTGGCAGAGAGTTTCCGGGACCACCGGTCACTACTGCGAGGCTGAGACACTCTGGTGCCAGGTGAACACCAAGGCCAGCTGGCCCTTGAGTCCTGCCTCCCGAGAGTGTCCAGCACTACACGATTCTTCCTCGTGAGAACGACCACCACCTCCATCCACCCTCCCCACAAAAGCCAAACAGAGCAAGTCATACCAGTAAACGGCGCCAGCAACAAACCAAGACTAGAGCCCTTCTCGGCTCCGCCTCCCAGGCTACAGAAGGCAAGGCCACCCCGCATCCTCCGGGAATCACGGGCTGAAGGGCGGGCGGGGCCCACGGCCCGCCCCCGGGGAGGACGGACGGCAAGGACCCGCCGAGGACAACGGCGAGCGGAGCCGGGGTGGCGGTGACGGGGGTGACCGGCGGCCATTGGCACCCGGTCCGAGGCGCCGGGCGCCGCAGCTCGGTGACGGAGGGCGTGCGGGGCGGGGCGAGGGGCGCCGGCACGGCCGCCTGGCGTCTGGCCCGCGCGGGTGGACCAGGCGCGGCGCCCCTCGCACAGGCAGAGAGCACGGCGGGCGGCCTGATGCTCTGCTGATTACGTGCGCGCGTGAGCCCAGAGGGGGCACCTGTGCTCATCGGACCAGCGCGCGGGCCCCGACACCCGGGCCGCGGGCGGCCGTGACTGCCACGCCGGCCGCTGCCGCGGGCGGTGTCCGCGCCCCTCTCTGCGCGTCCTCCTGCTGCCCGCGGGGCAGGCCCGTCTTCCCGAGGTGGAGAATCTGCTGACGGCGCCCAGCCTCTGGCTTCGGAAGAAGCCACGCGGAGGGAGGGTGAAGAGACACACGGGGATGCGCCCTGTGGGCGTGCGTCTGGAGAGCTGGCAGAGAGAGGAAACGCGCGTCAGGGTCGGCCCGTGGCGGCCCACCGAGAAGGCCTGACCACGCGGTGCTCACGGGCTGCTGGGCGACGGGGTGGGGGGGTGCAAAGAGGGGGCCGCGGGTTGAACACACGCGCGTGTGCTCACGTGAAAAGCGGCAGCAGGACCCTCACTCTCCTCCTCACGCTGGTACTTCTGCTCCTCGCAGTGACGAAGCCGATCAGGATTAAGGAAGAATAAGCCAGGGCTTCCTCCCAAACCTGCCGCTGGCATTGAACGGACGTCTGCCTTGATGTTGGCTTTGTTTTCCCCCGGCAAATCAAGGCGTCTCCCCAGGGCTGCGCGCCGTGAAGTTTTCTAGATGAGCAAAGATAACCATATTCCAAATGAGAGCAGGTGGGATCCTGAGCGGGGGAGCACGGACGGCCCACGGGGTCCCTGAAAAACTGAGCTCGGTGCACCTAAATCCAGTCTAACCTCTAAATCAGGCTTCGGATCACAGATCTATTTACTTTCATTTGGTGATAATTGTTCACAGCAGAACATATCAGAAAATTCTATAAAAGGAACCACAGCCAGGAAATAGTAAATAATTAATCACCCTCCCTCCCAGCCTCTTGCATCTCTGTTGATATAAATGACCGTATAATTCCAAACCCAATTATCACTACTTAGCCGTTCCATTTTGTAGTTAAAATCCCACAAAATTAAAGTGCATCAATTGTTAATGGTAATAGACCAGACAAGGGATTAAAGATTATTTTAATGTTTATTTCCTGTCAAGAGATCTTCTGGCAGGAAACACCGCAGACAAAAGGCGGGACACTCAGATGAGATTCATATATTTAAATCTTCTAACTTCTGAAAACATTATGGATATAATTACTTGTTTAATTTACTTGTTCCCTCAAGATATGGGCTGGGGAGATCAAGCCAACTTTTTTATATCAAGTTCTCAGAAAAGAAAGGCAAGCTCTGGAGCATCTAATAAGCTGGTTTATCCTCAATAATCACATCAGATTTGGAGCCTGAGTCCCTGGGCTCTGGGTGCTGCTGACAGAGGGGAGATGTAGAAGCTCGGGGCGAGGGGACTGGGTCCCAGGTCAACTCTCACGCCTGCAACCAGAGGCCTGAGTGGCCACAGGCCGTGCAGCTTCCCCAAGCCTCAGTTACGCCTCGGTAACAGACGGTTGATGAGGACAGCAGTGCACGCTGGACAGAGGTGCCAGAAGGCTGGGAGGCAGCTGAGTGAGGCCAAAGTCACCACCAACCCAAAACACAGGCACAGCACCCTGGCGTGCGTGCCACTGCTCACAAGGGTCACCCAGCTGAGCCATAGACGCTCAGTTAATCTTTCTAGGTCATCACCGAGACGGACAAGTGCACGTGCTCACACACACACACACATGGGGACACATCAGAAAACACAATCGCAACATCCAGGGGTCCTCTGAACACAATCTGAGAAATACTGGTCTGTTTCCAGAAATGCAGATGATGGCAAAAATAAGTTCCATCCCAATGTCCAATCACTTTACTCAGGATGTAGGTTGAGAGAGTTTAAGAAGTTCAAAGGCAATAAACAAATGGGGAGGAGGAATGGGCAAATAGAAAGATTGTTTGATAAGACAAAAAACATAACTGCTCTCCTAAAATTACTATTTAGATCCTGGAGAAAGACTCTAGAATATAAAATATGTGATTACATTTATATATAAATAAGAGAGAGGGAGGAACCAGGGGGCAGGATGGTTGGATGGACTGACAGACAAAAACAAGAACTGCTCACCTAAAATTACTATTTAAATCCTAGAAAAGTCAGAATCTAGATAGAACTTGAGCCCCTCTTCCCAAAGCAGAGTTAATTGTTTTACCTGTTAATTTCTGCCACCTTCATTTGAATATAAAAACCATGATGGAAGAGTTACCTGTGTGTTCACTGCCATATTGCTAGAACGTAAAATAGAGCCTGGCACATAATAGGTGCTCGATAAATATCACCAGCGTGGACCATGACAGGGACAGTAAGTGTACGATCATTCTGTGTCTCCGAAGGAATTCCCACCTCGGATTCTCGTGTCCGTATGTTAACCTGGTTTACCACTAACAGTAAGGGGCTTGGAAACAAGACGGGCTGAGAAGCCCTGCCCGAACCACACACCCAGACACAGGGTCAGAGCTAGTCTGAAATCGTACTTGCTGACCCTGCACCCCGGGCTCATTCCCTGGCGTCACTCTGGCCTTTGGAGACTGCCGTCCGCCTGAGGAGGAGGGAAGGCACTTTGCTTAAGAAGCAGAGAGATGACGTTCAAGGAAGCTTCTGCAACAGTTTGGGTTCCCAAAGAGCGTGTGACCTAGGGCTTAGGCTAATCGGTGGAAGTGAAAGGATACTGGGGAAGTCAGCCATCATAACTGCTATGCCTACAGATAAAATACACACGGCAGGAGGAAATAATAAACAAGAGTTCTTATCTTTAAAAGTACACTGCCCATTTCGTGTTTGATGTAAGTCAAATCATTATGCTGGACAACCATAAGCTTACAAGGCCCTGTCAATTATATCTCAACAAAACTGGGAGAAGAAAATTTTTTAATATACATTTATAAAAAACAAAAATACAGTGTTCATAATGGGAACCTACTGTTTAGCACAGGGAACTCTACTCAATGTTCTGTGGTGACTGAAACAGGAAGAAAATCCATTTATGTATGGATATATGTATCTGTATATGGGATATGTATATGTATATGGGACATATGTATATGTATAGCTGATTTACTTTGCTATACAGTAGAAACTAACAACATTGTAAATTAACTATAATGTAATAAAAATTTAAAAAAATACAGTGTTCAAACTATAAAAAGGCTAACCAACAAGAGAAAAATGGTTAAACAAAATACAATTCATTCATATGTACACTCTTACTAAATCAAGAATTTTTCTAAGCAATGTTTAGAGACATGACAAATTATTGTTTAAGAAAAAGAAAATATATAGAAAAAATATAAAGTTTAAATTTTTAAACTTTTTAAAAGCTTAAACCCAAATTTGTTTTCAAAAAAGTCATCATGCAGAGGAGAGAAAAAAACAACAAAATATTAAGAGCAATCATCTTAGGGAAATGGAGTTAACAGAACGTTTTAATTTTCTTCTGCCTAAGTGCCTAAAATTATTTTTTTCTCCTTCTACCATGTGTATTATTGACTACATATTCAAAAAATAAATAAATAAAGTTTTTCAAAGTAACACATGACTCTTGATAGGGGAGAGAGAGGGAAAAAAAAGTTCAATCAAACCTTACACCTGGGTCCAGTCAAAGAATTTACTTAGCTCATGAGTAAACAAAGATTAAGAAATTCACGGTCTAATACATACATATATAAAAGAAACATGTGCCTATCTACCAACTTTGTTTTCACTGCAGAAAAGTAAGAATCTAAAATGAAAAGGGATGTGGCATCTTGTCCCCAGCACCCGTTTCTTGAGTGTGATGAACCCTGAGCCCTGGAGTGAGGTGGGGGGCTGGGAGTCCTGGCGCTCATGTCTGGGAGCAGACCCTGGGAGCAATTGTCACGGGGACTTGCAGGGAGGCCTCGACCAGGCTAAGAAATGGCTGTCCTTGGGCCCAGAGAGGAGGGTGAGCCACTGACGGTCTGCGTGATTCATCACGGCTTCCTGTTCAGCCCCTTGTAGCATCCGTGATTGCATTTGGCGATCATGGGACACAGCTTCCAAACATGCCCTAAGTAACTCAGAGCCTTGCTCTCAAGTTGCCTTCTGGACCTGGCTCATCGTGAGGGGCTTGGAGGTGTTTCCTTTAAAACAGTCCCAGGAAAGCCAGCCATACATTCATTGGATACCTGATCTCCACAGGAAATAATCATCACAAGAAAGCGAAGGACAAGGGACTTTCCTGGCGGTGCAGTGGATAAGAATCCTCCTGCCAACGCAGGGGACGTGGGTTCCACCCCTGGCCCAGGAGGATCCCACATGCCATGGGCCAAGGAAGCCTAGGCCCACGCCTACCGCGCCATGCACTAGAGCCTGTAAGCTGCAGCTACTGAAGTCCTTGCACCCTAGAGCCTGTGCTCAACAGCAAGAGATGCCACCGAAACGAGAAGCCCACACACAGCAAGGAAGAGTGGCCCCCGCTCGCCACCAGACAAAGCCTGTGCGAAGCAATGAAGACCCAGTGCAACCAAAAATAAATAAATTTAAAAAGAAAAAAAAAGGAATAAAGTGACTGATGACGCTCACCATCTCTGTGTCTGGCATTCTGCTGGCCATCTCCCCTGCACAACATCTAACTCCATCAGGTACAGTAAATAAGGCTTCCTATTTTAAAGGTGATAAGACTAAGGCTCAGAAAGAGTAAGGTTGGTTATGATTCCCACCACTGTGGAATAACCCAGATTCATACTCAAGGGGGCCTGATTACAGAACTCAATGCCCACCTGAACCAGTGGCAGAGGGGAAGGCCGGATGCGGCCTGGGGAGGTGAGCTGGGTCTCTGCAGGTGGATGAACAGAGGGTCTTGGGTGGGGAAAAGAAGGAATCACCCAGCAGGTACCAGGTAAAGACAAGACTCAAGCCTTGGGCCTTGGACGAGCACAAAGGGTGCCAGCTGGCGTCCCTCCAGCCCATCTCTGATACCCTCTTAACAATCTGCTCACACTTCCAGGGACCTGCATGGCTTCCCACCTCCAGGGGACTTGTTCTCCTGCCAGAGTAAGACACTGAATAGCTGCCTGTATTCAACCTGACATCCACAGATATTTAAGAGTCTAATTCGATCGTTACATCTTTTCTGTAGACACAAAGCAACTGCAGGCTTCCGGCACCTCGGGCCTCCCTCTCACATTTACTGTCCTTGTTTAGGCGTGCTGGGGATGGATACACATGAAACAGGGCCGTTTAACTAAAGATGCTGTATAATGGTGCTACTTCGGTGCCTGACAACGTAGGAAACCTTGGTGGATCCTAATACCAGCCAAGAGATGCCGGCCACCGGGGCTTGGGTGGGGGTCCAACTTGCTCATGAATACGGCAGCTGAACAGATGGTCAATGGCTCCAGCAGCCAAGGGGCTATCAACTGAGCTCGGAAAAGCCAAATTCCCGTCAGTGCCAGGCTTAGGAGACGCTCCATTAAGGAGACTCACGTTGTTACAAGAGTTAAGGACATAAACCCAACAGCCAGCCCACGTCCCCCCGCCCCCTTTCCACTGGAAGGCTTGTCATGTAGGTGATGGTATAAGCTCCGAAATTTTCTGTGTGCCTCAGCTGGCTGGCTCGCAGAAATGCACCTTTGCAGGCCAGGTGAGATTTGTGGGACGGGCGAGACGCGACATGGAA